TGCTCTGAACAATATACAGTGAACAATATGCTTCCCTTTTACCTCAGTAACCCCATTTCTAGAATGTTATCCTGGGATAGAAATACCTCCCAAATAAAGAAATCGTGTTTTATACACAGAAATGTTAGTTACAGTGGTATCTGCATCAGTAGGCCCTTGTCCCATATTTACTAAGAGAAGGGCTGAAGGAACTACGCACGGCAATGTTGGCAACCATTCAAATAGTTCAGGAGAAAATGGCTAAGAAATTGCATGATATCAATATGATAGGATAGTCTGCAACCACGAAAACCATATTTACATTACAATGCTAACTTTCTAAAAAGCAGAATCGGATTACGGAAAATTCTCACGTTCTTAAACAATGCATAGACAAAAGACGGAAGGAACATGAATGATGAGAGTTTCATTGGATTCTGCTTCTGGGATGATGATATAGACATGGACTTCATCTCCCTCTAACATTCTATATGAAACAAATACCAGGAGACCAGAAGGTGGAGAGGAGTAGCTAGGGGGGTCTCAGGACTGGAGGAGTGATATGTTGATGAGTTTTCTGGTTTTTGTTTGTTCATTTTTATATTTTTTATTTTTTTGCCTTATAGACACCACAGTTGGAGCTAAAGAAGTCAGCAGCCCAGAAACACCAGTGAGTCCAGATTTTTAAAAGCCCCAATTAAAATTTGATTGAGAGAGAGAGAGAGAAAACACAAAACAGAAAAGAGGCAGACTAGCAAGACAGAAACCTTGCAGACAATAACTACTCTACTCTAGCCAAACAACACAGAAAACGGTGCGGCCCACCACCACCCATGCCAGAAAAGGCCAAGTGGGAGCCTAGACTTGCACCCCCGGGAGGCTGGAACAAGGAATCCCACACCCTCCCACAGGGGTGGTGCTAGGGAGGCCAAGCAGGGAGCCAGGACTTTCATCCCTACTGGCCAGTAGTGAGGCCCCTCGCCCCTAAGCCAACAAAAACAGAAGGTTTAAATAAGAACCAGAGACTTACAACATAACAGGAAAATGTCCAGGCTTCAGTAGAAAATCTCTTGCACTACCAAGACCAGAAAAATCTCGACTGAATGAAAAAAGACAATCAATAGATGCTGACACCATTAACCAAAAGGATCGAATAGACATTCATAGTACACTTCACCCAAACAACAGACTACACCTCCTTTTCAATGGCCCGTGGAGCACATACCAGGATGGAGCATATCCTGCACCATTAAAGCAAATCTCAACAATTTGAAAATAAATTGGAAATAATTCCAACCACAATGAAATCAAACTGGAAATCAGTAACAGAAAGATAATGGGAAAATCCTCCAAATATGTGGAAACTGAAAATACATTTTTAAATAATCCATGGTTTAAAGAGGAAGTACCAGGAGAAATAAAATAATACATGGAACTGAATGAAAATGAAAATGCAACATATCAAGATTGTGGGGCACAGCTGTAGCAGTGCTGGGGGAAAAAATGTTATGGCACCAAATAGATACATTAGAAAAGAGAAAAATCTCAAATCAGTAATATAGCCCCCACTAAAAGACTCCAGTAAACGGAGAGCAAAACAGACCCACAGCAAGCAGCAGGGAGGAAATAATTAAGATAAGAGCAGAAATCAGTAAAATTGAAAACAGAAACAACAGAGAAAAATCAATAAAACAAAGAGAGAGGGTCCTTTAAAAAAAACTCAATAAAATTGATAAACCTCTAGCAAGACTGACAAATGAGAAAAGGGAAAAGACACAAATTATCGATATCCAGAATGAAACCAGGCTATCAGCAGGCCCTGTGGGCATCAGAGATAATAATAGAACACTGGAAGCAACTCTACACACATCATTTTGACAACTTGGAGGAGGAAATGGATCACTTTGTTGAAAACACAAACTCTTACCCATCACTCACCATGAAATAGATCATTTGAATCGCCTTTTAACTCTTAAAGAAATGGAATTTTTAATTTAAAAACTCCCCCCAAAATACCTCCAGGCCCAGATGGTTTCACTGGAGAATTCTACCAAACATTTATACCAATTCTACACAAATTTCTCCCAGAAAATAGAAAAGGTGGGAACATTCCTTCATTCATTCTATGAAGTTAGCATTATCTTGATACCAATCAAAAAAATTACAAGGAAAACTATAGACCAATATAGCTCATGAACACAGATGCAAAAACCTGTAGCAAAATATTAGCAAATGGAATTTAGTAATATATGAAAAAAGTATATACCAAAATGGAGTGGAGTTTATTCTAAGGGTATAGGATGATTCAATAATAAAAAATCAATTGGTGTTGTCTATTATATTAACAGGCTACAGGGGAAAAAAACTACATGATCATATCAATGAATGCAGGAAAAGAACTTGACAAACTTCAACAACAAATTTGTGATTAAAAAACAAACAAAAACACACCTCTCAGAAAACTGGATATAGAGGGAACTCCCCCAACTTGAAAAGGAGCATCTACAAAAACGCTACAACTAACCTTACACTTAAAGACCGCATGCCTTACCCCTAAGTTCAGAAACCAGGCAATGGCATTGGCTTTGCCTCTCACATTGTGTTGGAATTTCTATAAAGCAAGAAAAGGGGGGGAAGCATACAGTTTGAAAAGGAAGAAATAAAACTGTTCCTATTGCACATGACATGATTGTCTATGTAGAAAATTCCAAGGACTCTACCAAACAAACAGAAAGAAAACCCTGTAAAACTACTCAGTGAGTTTAGCAAAACCATAGGATACCAGATAAGCATAGAAAAATCAACTACATGTTTATACACTGGCAGTGATCATGTGAAATTTAAAATGCAGTATCATTTAATCACTCACTGAAAAATGAAATACTGAGGTGCAAATCTAACAAAACACATAAAGAACTTGTATGCGGAAAACTGTAAAACACTAAAGATAGTCATTAGAGAATCTCAATAAATGGAGAGTCACACATAGTTCACGGATTGGAAGACTCAGCTCAGTGAAGATGTCAATTCTCCCCAAATTGACATTTAGTTTTAACACATTTCCTATCAAAATCCCAGGATGATTTATTTTTAGATACAGAAGATTCTTCTAAGATTTTTATGTAAAAGCAAAGGAACTAGAATAGCGAACACAATTTTGACAAAGAAGAATGAAATGGGAGGAATAAGTCTTTATTGTTAGGACTTCTATGTAGCTGTACCGGTCAAGACTGCCTGGTCATTTTGGAGGGATAGACGTAAAGATCAATGGAACAGAACACAGAACCCAGAATTGGACCCACACAAACCTGCCTGACTGATTTTTGATGGAGGTACAAAAATGATTCCAAAGAGGATAGCCTGCTCAACCAATGGTGCTAGCGTTAGATGGACATCCTTAGGCAAAACCAAAACCAAAACCACACAACTTGATGTCTCACACCTTATACAAAAATTACCTGGAAAAGGATCACAAACTTAAATATAAAAGGTAAAGTTATGAAACTAGTAAAACTAGGAAAAACAAACAAAGGGAAACGAGTTTGAGTTGGCTTTCTCACCCTGGTAACTTAAACGTCCCGACTAAAATACTGGGTAAAGCAGTCTTGGGCGACAACAGGTGCGGTGTTATGGCGATGCTGCAGCTTCTCTTCGGAGCCTGGTCTCTGAAGGTGCCACAGGAGGTGTCTCGGAACATCCCCGGCAATGGCGTCAGCAGGTGTAAGCTGTGTATGGTTTTTCAGAGGGATGCTTTTGGGGACAGAGTTGGTTTGGGTATGAAAGTTCTGTGACCTTGCAAACAAGAGAGCCTTTTCCCTTCAAAATCCTAGTTTTGCACAATTTCACACTTAGGTTGGTATTTGTCTTGCTATCCTGACAGCCTCAGGCATTTTTCACTCCTTAAAAGACCAGAAGGCAAGGAGGGTCTCTGAGGTGCTGTCGTTCTTGTGGATGAGAGAACCCCTCCCCACCCAGGTGCTCTGGAGAATTCAAACACTCATGGCTGGTCCAGGCGCAGGGGACTGATTGGGCACAGGAAGGGATGTCACTGTCTGTCCCATGCAGGGGCTCATTCTCCCCTCCGATGGTTGGCTAGTATCGCATGGAGTTGGTCTCTCTTCCTCAAAGGAGGCCCCTTGTCACCCCCCTGCAGGCCCAGGAGGTTCCCTGTTAATTTTGCCCTCAGGCTGGAGAGAACGGAGTCCCTGCCCAGCCCCAGGCCCTGTTCTGGTCACTTCTGCTTGTGCCCCGGGCTGAGAGTGGGCTCTGCATAGCTCTTGCCCTTGCTTGCCCCTGTCTCTGTCCCCAGGTGTTGCTGTCTGGTCCCAGAAGCTGACTCAGAGCCAGGGCTCAGCTCCTGACTCCAGGCTAGTTAGCAGGCCTGGCCCTCTACCTGGCTGCCTGGCTTCCTTCCCGCCCTGGCTGTCTCTCTGCTGCCTTACCCGGTGGCTCCTTGTCACACCTGGCTGACACCCACTGCCAGGCATCCCTCTCTCCTAGCTGTTAGTCAGGTGGCTGTGGAGTGCTCAGGGGAAGCTCAGTTTGGCACACAGCTCCATGCCTGCCTGGGTCCTGGGGTGCAACAGGGAGTCAACTCCTCTCCCACATCAAAGTACTGGGTGATAGCTGGTTTTATTCCAGAGGAATTGCAAGGAGGAGCAATGGACCCCCTAGAATTAGAAGAGAGCCAGGCACAGATCAGGTTTTGGAGGGTCTTCTCAAACCCCAGGTGTCCACAGGGAGCCCAGTTGATGACAGGAACCCTGGGAAGATATTATAACAGAGCCAGGCACAGATCAGGTCTTGGAGGGTCTTCTCAGGTGTCCACAGGGCGCCCAGTTGATGACAGGAACCCTGGGAAGATATTATAATTGGAGGCTCTGAGGACCATGGCCAAAGACCCACAGCCCAGGGAGTGCTCGGGGGCCCTGCGCCAAGCCTCCCTGTGACTGGCATGCAGCTGGTTCTCTAGATGAGTGGCTTCATGTCCTGCAGCCAGACCAGGTAAGGGGAATTGTACCTGCCTCAACCTGGTCCCCCTCCCGAGGAAGCAAGGCACCGTTTGCTGAGGCGTGCCCGCGTCTGAGTTGTTCCTGGTGCTCACCACGCCAGACCTGAGGTGAGTGTCCCACAGGAGGAATTCCAGCCCTGGCACCCCTGCTCTCATCCTCAGGCAATCCTACCACATTCCCTAGGTGCCAAGGAGGCGGGCCTTCCTAGGAACGCTGGCCTGGGGCTTCCTGGCTAATTTCCAGGGACGCATTCAATTTCGGAGCGGCGAGTCTTCTGGGGTAGACTGAAAAAGCCCATTCCGAACTCTTCTCTTGAAGCTTCTGTATCAAACCTTGTTAAAATATGGAGAAGGCCAGGCAATTCTGTGTCTGCCCTAAAATAAATTTCCCAGAGGAGCCTTTTTAGAAACCTGAATAGCCAGCAACGCTGTTGGGAGCAAGTGTCAGAATGTGGTGTATTCGATGACACAGTAAGGGATGACTCAGTGAGGGGACCTGCCTCATAGAAACGGCTGGTGCTCTGAACACCATCCTTTTTTATGGGCCAGGGAGGTGGAACCAACTGGCCTAGTAAATGACCCTGGCAGAAGAAAGTGAGGAGGAGCAGGGGGGCGGGGAAGGCCAGGGGTCCTCTTGCAGCCAGGGACTGAGGGATTGCAGAAGGTGGCAGTGACATAGTAGGCAAGGATGGGGACACAGTAAAGGGATACCACCCGGCCCGTTAATATTTCCCAATTCTCCCAGTTTCTTTCTTTTTTATAAAAAAAATATATTTGTATTGATTTCAGAGAGGAAGGGAGAGGGAGAGAGAGGTAGAAACATCAATGATGAGAGAATCACTGATCGGCTGCCTCTTGCACGCCCCATACTGGGGATCAACCCTGCAACCCGGGCCTGTATCCTGACAGGGAATCAAACGGTGACCTCCTGGTTCATAGGTCAACGCTCAACCCAATTCTCCCAGTTTCTTGAATGAAAAACTAGTATTTATGCTTCAAAGGAGTTTTCCCATGAGTGATTTAGGGAAATTCTGACAGTCCTAGTCCCATGGGGTGGGGTTGCAAGTGCAAACACAGTCTTGCTCGTTGGGGCACAAGAAGTCAGGGCTGGTGGAAAGCCTGGCTTCAACCAGCATTCACACAAGTTCAATTTCATTTCCTCGGTCACCTGGCCCCGAGTCTCTTAAAACACAGCATTGGCAGGATTCCTGAAGGACTTCTGTTATGTAGACACAGGGTTACTTTGCCTACTGACTTAGAGTCTTCCCCATACGCGCTGAGATGGAGAGGGAGGCAGCAGTCGGATCACAAAGGGCTTTGTGTCCCGAAGAGAGGAGTCAGAGCTTCTTCGGTTGGTTCGTGGGGACAGCAGAGGTCCTTGAATAGGAAGCTCTGTGATTCGCTTTGTTTTTTTTTAGGACTGCCCTGGGAATTCCTCCTTCCTCACAGTCCTGTGTGTATAAATGAAGTTACATTGATGGTGAGATCTGTTTTACTTTCGTAATTTCACACGGTCACACGCCACGTAACAGCAGGGATGTGCTCTGAGAAGTACATTTTTAGGTGATCTCATACTTGTGCAAACATAGACTTGGGTCTAGAACCTAGATGGCCTAGCCTGCTACACACCTGGGCTACATGGTAGAGCCTACTGCTCCCACACTACAAGCATGTACAGCACATTACGGCACAAATCAACATGCAATGAAATCAAGCACAAGAGAAAATGATGTAATTAAAGGACATAGTAAACTGCTGATGTATGAGGCTGCAGCCAGCATAACCCAGCAGGCTATTTTATGGCAAACTTTTTTTTTTTTCTTGTAAGTAGAAAGAGTACACACTACAATAACTCTAAAATGTATAGTGCAGTAAATACATAAGCCAATAGCAGTCGTTTGTTGTCATTATTGTGTATTATGTACTGTTCATAATCGTCCATACTTTGACAGACTGGCAGCCCAGGTGTGTTTACACCAGCATCACCACAAACACCTGAGGAATGCGTGCACTACGACGTTACCACGGCTACGACGTCAGCACTTGACGACAGCTGACGTCACTAGGCGGTAGGAATTTTCCGTGCCATGATAATCTATGGAACCACCATTGCACATGCGTACTTGGTCTGCCATTGAGAGGTCACTATGCTGCACTTGACTGTACGCCCCTGCCGCCTGCGGAAGGACCCCACCCCGACTAGATGTCTCAGGGAGACCCCGGGGGGCGGGGGTGGGGCGCCTCCTGCTGGTAATTCCAGGGTCTGTTGCTGCTGGGCTCCTTCCCAGCTCTCAGCCTCCATTCAGACCACCTGCGCCCACCGATCCTGCAGGTAGGGGCGCTGCTTCTGTGATCTGTCCTGTTAGATGGCCCCACAACAGGGTGACTTCGCCCCATGAGTATCACCGGGGTGCCACACTTTCTCTTTACGAAGACTTTTTATTTAGAGAAGTTGAAGGTTCACAATGAAACTTCTTTATTTTTTTTAGCTTGAGATCCACCACTTTCCTCCCAGAGCACGGAGCTGGATTTGAGGCTCACTTTGAAAGAAATGCTGGTTTGGGCTGTTGCTGGAAGCTTTTCAGCCTTCCCCAAGGCTGGCCATCAGCAACTCAAACATATTTTAGAAGGCAAATTGAATTTGGGCAGCTTGTCCATTGTGAAATGCTGTGTTTCTCTTCTTCGGTGTCAATAATTATGTACAGGAAGGTAGGGGACATAGCGGCTATGGGCGGGTCCTGATATCAAACTGCTAAAGTAGTTCAGATCCTCCTCCTGCCCCGCCCGTGCGACCTTGCACCAGTGACTTTGCTGTGTCTCAGTTTCCTCATCTGTCAAATGGGAGTAATAAACCAATAACTAGCTATGGGCGGGTCCTGATATCAAACTGCTAAAGTAGCTCAGATCCTCCTCCTGCCCCGCCCTGTGCGACCTTGCACCAGTGACTTTGCTGTGTTTCAGCTTCCTCATCTGTCAAATGGGAGTAATAAACCAATAACTATTACCTAGAATTGTTGTGAAGATTAAGTGGATGAATAAAGTTTAAACACAGTGGTGAAGAAGGTGAGAATCATTCTGACAGGAAGAAAGGGAATGTGGATGGTACACCTGCAGTAGAGTAGGAGGAGTTGAATTCCTGGGACTTGCAGACCGGTGGAGCTGTGGGACCCTGCTTTGCGTTTCAAATGAGCATAGTTGTAGGAGGTTGGAGAGTATTTTTCTGTGGGTAAGATTAAGGTGAAGGCCAACAACTATTTTTATGGGGGATTTAAAATGTAGCTTTGCCCAGAATCAGGGGAATAGATGATTTAACCTGGACGAGTATTGTCTCTGTGAGCTTATATGGCTCTTATCACGGGGTACGGAGGAGTTTGAGCTATTAAAAAAGACAAGTTGCAAAATGAAGAAATTATGCCCCTTGTACTCGTGCACTCTGGTGGTTCTGAGAGCAAGGAGCCTGCAGGCTCAGAGACTAATTAAAGGGCGGCTAGGAGCCCCCAGCTCTCCTCGGGCAGCAGAGGTTTCAGGGGCAGCGGGTTCCTCAGCTGCTAGCTGAGGAGGGCTGGGTTTTTCTCACCCTGACCTTGGAGCCTGGGGCTGCTGCTCTGTGTTTAGCCTGGGAGGCGGAAGTATCCTGATGAAGTTCATTGTCTTAAGCTGTCATCCTTGTTTATAGGCAGGAAATGCAGTGGGACTGCTAGAACCCCAAGAGGCCATCCAAACCTAATATTCCAGTGATTCTCTGCCCCCCACGGTAGGTAGGACAGGTGACCAGGCTGGATGGTACTCCGTGCAGAAGGCGGACCAGCCACCAAGACAAGGGGTGTTCTTCCCACACCTCAACCCTCCATTTTTTTTGTGTGTAATTTTTTTTTTATTATCTAAAGCTTAATAACATTAAAACTTTAATAATTAAATTAAGGCAATTTTAGAAAAAGAAAGAAAACCTCCTTCCCTCACACAGTTACGTTTGCACATTCCCCTTCAGTCTTAGTCATGTTGTGAGTATAGTTTTAAAGATTTGAAACCAATGTAATGGACACCATGCAGTCTGGTGCTCATTCAACAGCATCATGTCATAAGCAGCATTAGTGTTGCTATATGATTCCATAATTCTTTTTCAGAGCTTTATGACAAATATTCCATTGAGTTACTAGACCATCATTTGTTTAGTCATTCCCTTGTTAATGGACATTTAGATAATTTTCAACTTGTGTCTGTGATGGTGACTGCTCTGGGAACATGTTTGTTATTTATAGTCAGTTTCTCCTATTAAATTCTTCCTTTGGATAAAATATAGGGGGTGGGCTTACCGGGTTGAAAGGTGTGAACATCTTTTCTTCTTCTTACCATGTATTATCTTCCAAAAGGATTGAACCAATTTCCCATGTTACTGGCTATGTATCATGGTACTATTTCTTTCCCAACTTCTCTCATGTTGGCTGTTGCCATTCGAATTTGTATTATTCATTCTTATAGCGAAACCTTAGTACCCCACATGTGCTTCAAGTGCATTTCCTGTATCATTACCGTCTTCCCTGCACATGACTCTTTCATCCAGGAGGATCTGCAATCCACCATGCCCTGCTGGCCTTAGCTTTTTAGAACATCCCTACAAACAGATTCTGAATCTGTTTTCACTGATTCTTAAACCAGGTCTGGAGTCTCCCCGCCTGCCTCTGGCTCCTGCCAGATTTGATTCTCTTCCACATTCTTCTAGTGTGGCACATTTTCTGTCCAGTTAACTCCTACAGTTGTTTCCATTACGGAGTTACTGTTCCATGCTCTCTGGACAGCATTCCTCCTCCTGCTGGTGAGCACTGATTTAGACAATTAGTGCATGTAGCAGGGAAGAACATTCCCCATAGGTTTGATTATAATGTGTCTTCTCTTAACAGGAGTTGTCTATGTTTTTTTTTGCCATTCATTCATTCATTCATTCTAACAAATATTACTTGAGTGCTTAAAATATTCTGGATGGTACAGATATGAGTGAAGATATAGTTTCTGCCCTCATCATATTTTTCCAGGGACACACTATTCACAAGCAATTCAATGAGTGAATAATATATCAGGCAGTGATAAGTGCCAAGGAGACAAAAATAGGGTAAAGGGACAGAGAATGCTGGAGAAATGTGGGCAATGGTGTCCTGGAGCTGGTGTGTACAAGCTCCTGAAAATTGTGTGTATATCTCTTTCCAGCCCATATTTAATTATCTCCTGTTGGCAGCTTGACATTGGCCATGATGGAAGTATTTACATCACACACATTAAATACTACCATTCAGGAACAACTGGTCGTTAAACTTTTCTCAACACACACTGGATATGGGGTTGCTATTTTGTATGGGTTAGTTAGGGAAAACCTCACTGATAACATTTGACCTAGAGGGAGTGAGGGAGGGGGACATATGGGTATCTGGGGAAGAGCATTCCAGACAGAGGGAACAGCCAGCGCAAAGTCCTGAGGCAGGTTGTGGTTGGCATGCTTTAGAAAAAGAAAGGAGGCCAGTGTGGCTGACGCAGATTTGGAAACAGTGGGAAACAGGAAGAAGGGTGCTAAATGATGAGGTGGGGGTAAGGGGAAGACTGGGAGGAGATAAGAGCAGATGTAGGCCTTGTAGATCATTGTAAATATTCTGGCTTTTACTCCTGATTTGAGGTGAAAGTCACTGGAGGATTTTGAGCTGGGCAGTGTCATGTTTTGATTTATGTTGTAAAAGGATTGCCCTGGCTGCTGTGTTGAGAGCAAAACTGTAGGAGGGCAGAATTCCAATCATTAACAGGTGACCGAGATAAGCCAGGAAAGAGCTGATGGTGGTTTGGATTGGTAGTGGAGGTGAAGAAATGTTTAGATTCTGAATACATCGTCAAGGAAGAACCCACAGTATTTGCTGATGGATCCGTTAGGCTGTGTGTGCTAAAGAATCAGGATGATCCCTTTCTATTAAGGCATTTTCTTTTCTTTTTTAAAGTTGGAAAACATTTTTTATTTTTTAAAATTTATCTTTATTGTGGAAAGTATTACAGATGTCCTCCCTTTCTCCCCATTGACCCCCTCCACCCCAGTCCTGCCCCTTCCCCAGGCCTTCACCACGCTATTGTCTGTGCCCGTGGGTTATGTACATATGCACACAAATTATCTGGTTCATCTCTTCCTTCCCACCCCCCGACCCCCGCTTCCCTCTGAAATGTCAGTCTGTTGCATGCTTCAATGTCTCTGAGTCTGTTTTGTTCGTCAGTTTAATTTGTTCATTAGATTCCACATATAAGTAAGATCATGTGATACTTGTCGAGGCTTTTTCTTATATTAATCTTAAAGAAAGCATTTTAGTTGAGGGAAATTTGAGGCATGGTGGCAGGATCTATACCCAGTTCTTTGATTTATACTTCATTCTTCTACACAAATCTTATTCTGAGGAAAGATCTCTTTTTGACTATGTGTGATACCAAGCAGTTCAGTTTTAAGTAACCCAACCAAGCACAAACTGTGGGGAGAATGCTGGAGGTCCGTAGAATCCATTCTCCCCTTACTTTATACATAGCAGCAGAAGTTACGTCGGATATGAGGCAGCTAGATATACCTCTGGAACCTAGTATAGGCCAAGGGAAGGTGAGTGAAAGTATCACTTCCAGGTGAATGCCACACAAGAGAAGACATTTTTCCTCTCCCTCTACCCCCTAAACTCAAATCCTGATGTCAGATGTGCCAATGACTTGGCGTTGACCATGAGCCAAGAACTGTGAACCAATAAAATACAGAAAACCAAGGTTCTGAGATAATCATGTAGAGCCGTTACCCCTCACTACTTCCCTTAGAACTGCTTTATGAGAGAAAATACAATATTTTTTAGGTCATAGATTCTTGGGGGTCTTTTTGGTACAGCAGCTTCACCTTTACCCTAGCTAATATAAGAGCCAATTCCAAAACCAACCAACCAACCAACCAACAGAAATCAGAAAGTAGAAAGTGACCTACTCCAACTGAGGAAGGAAGCCTAAAGGATCAGAACATTTACACAGGTGCACATAGAGGAAGAACAAGGACAAAGGACTGTCCAGTAGCTGGACGCACTGACAGAAGGCTGGCCAGGATTTTAGGTGGAAACAGTGGGAACAGATTTACACTGGTAATAGTGAGTAGATGGACATTGGGTAAAGCAGAGAAAAGAATGCTGGAGTTTTAAGGCAGGAAGAATTTGTTAGCACAAGACCAATATGTATTGGAAAGTGGGGGCAGGGGTAGAAAGCTGAGAGGGGAGGATGTTCTACTGTGGAGGCAGCAACATGTGAGAAACCATCCTGTGAGAAGACACTCTTGCAGTCACTAAGAAGGTGCGTAGGGACAACCCAGTAGGTCTTTTGAAAATATGTCTTTTATTGGCCATGCACTAACCTTGATCTATGCTAAAGGTGGGGGGGAAAGACACCTAACAACCTTCCCCATTAAAGTTAATGGGGAATCGCCTTTAAAGTCTACGGGCAGAATATGGCATGATGAATCTGTATGATTATTTCATGACGCTTCCCAGAGATAAATAAGGCTCTTAAGAGACATGTTTATTGGTGAACAATTTATGTCAGTGTACATACCATCAGCTGGAATGTAATACACAATTGCTGAGGATAAGACAGGAAACGATTACCAAGTTTGGCTCCAGCTGGTGCTGCACCCGTGGGAATGCCGTGAATAATGGCCGAATCACAATGAAGATAAATTGGTGTACTGGGCAAACACTTCCAGGGAACTAACAGAATCTCTCTAAGGAGCTGGTATTCCCTTGAAGGCCACTTTGGAGGGCAGGTCCATGTCTTTGGCAGGAGGAAAGGAGCCACGGCCCCATACTCCAGGGTCCTGTCTAGGCACCCATGTGAACCTGAGTTTCAGCTGAGCCACTGGACTTCCGTCTTCTGTCTTCCCCATAGCCCTCTGGGTGTCTGCAGCTGGAAGAGCTCTGCCCACTTCCCTTCTCGCTGAATCTCCACTTTGTCATTCTGAGGGGACATTCCTATAGTTCAGTTCCTTACCTCCCAAGTATGTCTACATCTTCCATGGTTTGACTCTCACTCCCCCACTCTTCAGAGGCTGCTCTTGCCCCTGCTGCTCAGTGTGGCAGTAAATAAGCACAGAAGTGCTCTGCTTTCCAGCCCACATCACGCTAGTCCCCACTTTTATTTACTGCTCATGATGTTCCCCTTCCACACAGCACCTTCCCATAGTTCACCACTTTTAGGGTTCATTTCAGGTGTCAGTTGTCCCACCTCCTTTTCCCTCCAATTCTTCAGGGTAGCTTGAAGAGGTAGAGGCAGTAGAGAAGACCATCTAGGGAAGCATGAAGTGATTACTAATAGAGCTTATGTTAATCCACTTGTGGTATATCATTTGCAAAAATGACCACAAGTATTCCCCCTTCACCTAACCGTGTTGCTATGCAATCTGACTTTGTAGCTCTTTCTATCAAGACGTGAAGTCTGTTTCCCTACCTCTTGAATCGGGGTTGGCTTTAAGGCTTGCTGTAGCCAATAGAAAGTGGCAGAAGTGACACTGTGTCAGTTCTGAGTCTAGGCCTCAAAAGGCTTTGCGGACTTCTTTCTCCTAAAAACCAGTCCAGTCATGTGGACAGGCCCAGGCTAGCCAGCTGGATGATGAGAGACGAAATGGATAGGAAATGAGTCAGTCCAGTTGTCCAGGGCAGGCCTCAGAAATGTGAGGGCTCAGTGAATACCAGCAAAGCCAACCAACAGCTGACCCGCACTTGACTGCAGATGTGTGAGGGAGCCCAGCCAAGAACAGAAGGACTGCCCAGCTGAGCCCATCCCCAATGCCAGGATAGCAGGTTCTTGAATAATGTCGTTTTGTTATAACATTGATAAGATGCTGTAGGAACTCAACTCTGGTTTATAGCAATCAGCCTATGGTAAAATTAGTTCCATTATACATTGTTTCCCTTAAAGTCCAAGAACCTACAGATGACGTTAAGTGAGGACTGACTTTACATAGCATCGTGTGAGCTAGATAAATGCTGTGGTTTTAGGCCATGTAGTTTTGGGGTTGTTTGTTATGTAGCAATAGATAACTAACATTATTTAACAAAGTTGGATGGGGTCTGAGAATCTGAAATGGTGATGTGTGTTCCTTTCCCTACACTTAGCAATCAGTGCAAATAATTTCATTGTCTTTTAATTATTTTACTAGCTATTAGAGGGGGACATTTCTGGCTAATGTCTAAGTCAGTGGCACAGCTGATGAATTCCTAAAGCCTAGTTCCATAGTCCCTCATATCTTTGGACATTATCCCCAAGGAGAGACAGCACCCATGGCTACCCTACCACGGAGGATCTATCCTAGCTCCTTCTGCCATTCCTCGGAGGTGTGCAAGGATGGAAAAGCATAGAAGGCAGACTGTGGCACTGACAAGACTAGACTTGAAACCTGACACTGACTAACCCAGTGATGGCGAACCTACGACACGCGTGTCAGAGGTGACACGCGAACTCATTTTTTTTGGTTGATTTTTCTTTGTTAAATGGCATTTAAATATGTAAAATAAATATCAAAAATATAAATCTTCATTTTACTATGGTTGCAAATATCAAAAATTTTCTATATGTGACACGGCACCAGAGTTAAGTTAGGGTTTTTCAAAATGCTGACACGCCGAGCTCAAAAGGTTCGCCATCACTGGACTAACCTCTTTGAGCCTCAGTTTCTTCATCAGTAAACTGGGAACAGCAATACTGGCCTCCCAGGGTCATTGTGAGGATTAAATGAGATAGTCCGTGATCAGGGCTCAGCAACCTGTAGGATTGGGAGGTCGAGCTGGGAAGCCTAGAGTAACTGAGGAGCTTAGAAAAGATGTGTCCTCCCACCTGAATGAGGAGACCATCCCAATGCCTTCTTGCCAGGTACAGTCCTCAGTTAAGATCATCCCAGAGCCATCTGAGAAGATCCAGGGCAGGTAGAACTTCCCCTTTGCTCAGAAATCATGCACCTGGCAGTGGGTCCCGCCTTTAAAGGCTTAGCTGATGTCCTGGTCAGGACAGGGCTGTGCTCTTGGCAAACCATCTCTGCTCTTTGTGCTGGCGATGTGGTGTTTAGTGAATTCCTTCCTGTTTCTGAGCCCAGAAATGATTGTCTTGGTGGCCAGGGTATGTGTTTTCCCCAGAAGAACATATGAGTAGGGACTGATTTGCTCATTTGCATCTAGTTCGCTCCTACTTCCTGCCCTCTGTCCCCATCTGCACCCCCAGCCCTCAACATTGCTCCAATTCCTGTGGGTCTGCAGGCTGAGCCCGGGCTGTGGATTTACGTCCATCAGAAGCCTGATTGAGGGTTAGGAGACATCATTTGGGATGTGATGACAATCACAGGCACAGACCCTACAGTTGTGGCTGCTGTTTCTTTTCATAGACCATTCCCAGGAGGCCTCCATCCTACGCCGTTGCCAATATCTGCTCAAAGCAGCATATTTCTCCATAGCTCTAGAAAACTTTAAAGGGAAAACACTGAAGCTTTGGGTTGTCTATTCTTTTTGTCATCCCCTATATCAGTGGTTCTCAACCTTCTGGCCCTTTAAATACAGTTCCTCACGTTGTGACCCAACCATAAAATTATTTTCGTTGCTACTTCACAACTGTAATGTTGCTACTGTTTATGAATCGTAATGTAAATATCTGATATGTAGGATGGTCTTAGGCAACCCCTGTGAAAGGGTCATTCAACCGCCAAAGGGGTTGCGACCCACAGGTTGAGAACCGCTGCCCTATATCATTCCATATTCTTCCAGAATTTTTGTATGTGCGTACATATATATGCATTGATATATATATATATATATATATATATATATATATATATACACACACACACACACACACACACAACACACACACACACACATATATATATATATGCATACACACAGGAATGTATCACTTCCCATTTATATGTATGTGTATACATGAAGAGATAATACTTGTGTGCATATACTTATCTATATACATATATGTACCTATGTAAAATGAGATCATATGGGTTAGCAGCCTTTTGTTTTCCCATACTATATGATAAGCATCTTTCTCGATCAGTAAACCTTTATTAAAAGGTCACAGGCTGGAGACCAAAAGCCAAATTCAGTGCATAGGTGATCCTGATTGAGAGTAGAGTGTCTTTTAAAGACTTGAATTTGAATGTCTTAGGAAGGGGCATATATCCTTCAATCCCTGACGGGCCTTGGAGGCATTTAAGATTGTCATCCCGAGTTTCATATGATTTATAATGACCATGATGCTACCATATAAATCAATATTTCTCAGTAGTAGCTGGCATTTGGGGCCAGACAACTCCTTGTTTCTGGGGCTATTTTGTGCACTGCAGGACACTTAGCATTCTCCGTCCCCATTAACTCAATGTCAAGAATGTCCCCAGGTCGAGGAGACGCATCCTCCTGCGTCGCCCTGCGATGAGCTCCCCAGTGGTTCCAGGCGACCTGCAGCTTCCCCCGAGTCAGAGGGCCCAGTTCGCCTTCAGAGTAGTAGAAACGAGGGAATGATGACATCTGAGGGTCTGGTCCAAGAAGAGACAAAAGTTCTGAAACTTAAGACAAAAATGGCTGATAAAGAAAATGTCCATAGACCTACAAGGAGCAAAAATAATGTAACAATGGGAAAAAATTGTATTCTGTTAAAACCTTCTAATGAATTAACCAATTCAACTATAGCCACTGATATATATAACTTGGAGAATAATCAAACTCTGCAGTTGTTACCAATTACAAATGATCGCCAAGGTCAACGTATGACATTAAGCCAAGCGTTTCACATTAAAAACAATAATAAAAAGAAACAGGTGACTACAGAAAAACCAAAGCAAGATGCTAACGTGCTCAAGAAACCTGTGCTTGGATCTTATCGTGGCCAAATTGTTCAATCTAAGGTTAATTCGTTTAGAAAACCTGTACAAGTCAAAGATGAGCATTCTGCAATAACAAAGAAACTTTCAACTCCTATCTCTAAGGCCACAAAACCTCAGCCTATAAACACAAGCAGTGTAACAGCAAAAAGTCACAGAGCCTCAAATATGATGACTACGACTAAATTTGTGAGGGCTACATCTCAGAATGAACAACTTTTATGTCCTCCTATTAGAAGTCACCACAGTAATACTCATAATACCCAGGACTCCCTGAAACAAGGCATTGCCAATGTTACAGTTCGGAAAGGGTCTCATGAGAAAGAATTACTACAATTAAATAGAGTTTTCTCTAGTGTCAAAACCATTTCTTCTCAGGAAGTAAAAGGAAATAAGACAGTATCAAGAAGCATCACATCCGAAATGATAGCCAGGTCTACTTCATCTTCTAATATCAAACAGATAGAAAAGTCAAAAACCATTGAGCAGTGCAGGCATACTATAGCAAAAGAAACTATCAATAGAAGGGCTCAGCCCAAAGAAACCGTAGAAGAAAGAAAAGTTCGTCTGAGTGAGTGGAGAGCTAGCAAAGGAAAAATATTGAAAAGGCCTCCTAGCTCAGTAATAACCCAGCCTGAACCTGAAGGACAGAATGAAAAACTAGTTGGGTCATTTTTGGACTACCCTGGCAGAAGAAGATGAACAAAGATTATTTACTGAAAAAGTAAACAAGACAGATCCCACTTCTCACCAGGGCATTCTGTGATACAGGCACAGTCTTTAAAAAGTGAGTAGAGGCTTTTGCTTAAGGCCAGAGCTTGGCTGGAGAAATAGGGTGTCTGGTGACCCCTTGGTCTCAAGAGCTTTACAAACAGGGAGAACCTCTTTGATCCACCCTCTGTGGAACCCCAAATGATGAGATAGGCTGCGGGTGGCATTAACATTTATGTTATGCACTGCATATCTATATTGCATATGTATTTATGCACTATATTTAATAGATATGTACATAAAAAGTGTCAGAAGTTTTCACACACAGACTCCTCCCTATGAGCCGATGTTTACCCCCTTAGGGACAATACCATTGATGTTGAGAAGACATGGCCTGGAGAGGCCTGCCCAGGCTCCTGCTTTATAGATTAGGCCAGAGAAAGAAAGGGCAGCAGAGCCTGAGAGCATGAAGGGCTGCCGGGTCAACTTCCCTTCCCACCTTGGAAGCTGGCACTGCCCCAGAGCACAGTCCACAGTGGACGGTCAGTCTTGCTTGAAAACCCAGGCCACAGACACGAAGATCACTCAGGCCAGAGACAGAGCCAAAACTCAGGGCTCCCCAGACTTAGCCAGAGTTCTTCACTTGGGTCCATCCCATCTCTCCATGGATTTCCTCCTGAGATACGTAAGCCTCCACCCTCCCACTTCTCTCTAAAAGATGAAACAGGTTTGGAAAACCCAGATGTCACTGAGAGAAGGCTCCCAGGGGCTCCAGGAGATGCTCTTAACAAGCAAACACAATGGAATGAGACCCTTCTGTGGGCATTGGAGAAGTAGAGTCCATTGTATTTGGACTTGGGAACCTACTACTTAACCCCTCATGAAGGCACAAATGCTTCATTCACTCTGAGCTTGGGAGACGTTTTCCCCAGGAACCATGCGCAGGCAGCTAGTTATCTCGGATGTGGAAGCAGATTCATCCCAAACCTTCTGCCTGCAAAGGAGCGGAGCTCTCAGCATGAAGGCTACTTGGATTGACCTGGCTGCAGACCCCACTTCCCCTAATGACCTTTCCAGCTGGATTCTTAAGTGGTTAGAGCAGGCTTCTTGCAGGAAATGTGTCGTGTGTTGAAAGCCAAGGTTCTTGCTATTGTTCATGCTTTCATTTGGTCTTTTATGAGATTGGTGCTCCTTTAAAGGGACATGTGAGCCATTCCTTGTGGGCAGCTCTGTTTATGGACATACGATTTGCTCTGTGTTAGCTATGCATGAATCACGGGCATTACTACAGTCTGGAAGACCACAGAATTTTACAAGAGGTGCCTTGCCTTCCATCAGCTTTCTCAAGTGTCTTTTCTGAACTTGCTCATCTAACCTCACCTCAGGTTTATGCTTTTCATTAGGAATGGTGTATTACTAGTGGGTTTTAAAATTTAAAACAATTCTAAACATATGTAGCCATATATGCTTTGGGGATCAGTGCATGTTAGTATCAAGATGCCTTCCATGGACTAAGTCATTTAATCCTCATAACTTCATTAGAATGTACATATTATTAATTCCCTCATATTCTTAAAACAATTCTAAACATATGCAGCCATATACACTTTGGGGATCAGTGCATGTTAGTATCAAGATGAATAATAATATTACTTAGTGTACCATATCTATGCTAAGCCTTCCATGGACTAAGTCATTTAATCCTCATAGCTTCATTAGAATGTACATATTATTAATTCCCTCATATTACAGAAGATAAAGCTGAGGCTCAGAGAAGTTAAGTAACTTGCTCACGAGTGTACAGCCACTGAATGGGAGGGCCAGGACTCAAATCCAGATCAGTCCAATGCAGAGCCCAAGCTCTTAACTGCTGCCTGATACCAGCTCAGAGAACCTAGGGGAGTTCCCACCCATCTGTTCTCTCTGAGGCACGTACACCCCCAGTACCTCTGCTTGCCAGGAATGCAGCGTGGGGTCACCAAGGCAGCCCTGCCCTAATAGCAGATGATCTGGATGTGAGTAGCAACACACCTGCCCGGCCCGCCTCAAGTTTATGATAAAGACCGAATGCTACATGGTGTATGACTAAGGTCTTCGATTTCCAGGCTCTTCACATCTCTTAACATTGTAGGTTATGATGGCTTTACCCGTCTCTACATGTCTATATACAACACACACAAATACCACATACATATATATCCAGTGTTGGTAGGCTGCTCACAGTCGGACAAGCCATTTTTAGGATTAGAATTTCTGAACTGAAGGGGGCCTACAAGATCCTCTGCACTTTACAAATGAGGACATTGAGGTTTGGTAAGAGATTTCTTTGTACTTTCCCCAGAACCAGCAGAATGACGCTGAGGCTTAGAGACTCATGACTCATGGGTAGGCAGGGACCAAAAGAGTTGGAACATTTAAATGTAATATTGGAAAGCTTGGGTCACGTGATAGGAAAAACCCAGTCCAGGTGGGAAAGAAGCAGACTGGAACCAGAGAGACAATCAAGACGGCTGGGGGAAGCAGGGAAGGTTCAGGTGGCTGGACAGTGCTATCTGTAAGGGAGGGTATTCAGGAAGCTTGACACCTGAGCTTACCTGACACTTTTTCCTTCATTTCTCATTCCTGTTGAGTGTTCTGTGGATGCCTACCTGTGGGTAATTGGGTTTTACTGTGTTTGAGGAGGCGGGCCTGAGAGTATATATTTGACATTTCACCAGGAGGCTGCACTTTAGAGTGCACTGGATGGAGGGAAACCCCAAGGACAAGCCAGCTCCCAAGACTAGGAAGTGGCTGGGCAGGGAGCCTGCACTGAGTCCACCAGCCTCAGGTGAAAAGGCCAACGTAAAGGGTTTGACTCTCAAAGGGGTCAGGGGCCAGTTGGCCTTTACAGAAGTGACTCCTCTTATCCATGGATGCTTCTCTTTCCCATGAGGCCCCCAGACTCCAGTCTACCCAGTATTCTTTCCTCGGAGGTCTGGTTGACCCCACACCCATCTTTCTCCCCCTTTTCCTGCAAATGCCTGGTTGCAGACCGAACTAGATGAGAGAGTACCAACAAAGAATCCAGGTCCACAGCTGACAAAACAACCCACAGCACACGTCCTATGCCCAGATGGGCACCCGGGGTCATCTGTGTCATGTGTCCTTATGGCAGAGAGCATGTTATTATACTAATTACAGTGTACTGGGCTTTACTGGGAACCAAAAATAGATATATGTGGCTTCTAGGGACAGGCACCAACATTCCTTTGGCTTTCTTTGCTGTGTGATTTATTTTATTTTTTTGAGAAATCTTTGCCTTGATTAGAAAAAAATGGGGGCTGCCAAAATGGGGGCATTTTTGGAAGGGCAGTTGCATTTGACCTGTGCTGCTGTCACAGTTGCCCTGTTCACAGTGCTGTTCCCCACGGTCATGTGGGATTGCAAACGAAACAAAATAGGCAGCCCCACTCCGTGTCCTCTATGGCACTTCGATTTCCAGGCTCTTCACATCTCTTAATGAGGCGCTGCACACCACAGCCCAGCCTGGGTGGGCCCAGGAGATCTTTTCCCCGGAGAAGAAATTGGAGAGCGGTTTAGGCTGACTCTGCACCAGGATGAGAGAAGGAATTAGCATTTATTGAGCTCCCGCTGTGTGCTCCCCTGTGCCAGACGCTTTTGCTGATCACCGCAAAATCTTGAAAGTAAATGAAGAATTGGAGGCTCTGGATAAAGAAGCCAAGGATGGAGCTGGCATCTGGGGCCAAGTCTATTCATTCCAAGCCCAGTTCTTCCTGTGTTACATCGGGATACAATTAATCCACGGTAGGAAGGACAAGCTTCTCAGAGCCCTCACTGCCTGTGCAATATCTCCTGGGAGAGCGGCGGTGACATGGGAAAGGATAGGAAACGCTCTTATTATTTCTGTTCTCCGATAGGCACAAGAAATTGATGTTCACAAACTCCAATGCTTTGCTGGCCTGGTAGGGTGTGTAAATGCGAGTGCATCTGTGGTGGATAGGGAGCTGGGCGAGGCGAGGGAAGGAGGTTAGGAGGAGTGCAATAATAGCACCGGAGAATGCACGTCCCATTGAAAAGCATCACTATTCACATCTTTAATAACATTGTTGGCCAAACCTCGGTCCATGTCGGACCAAGGCTACAATTTTAGGACTCATCAGATGTCCTGTCAGTGTTCCTCTCCCTGCATTCTCATCCATGCACAAGTGTGTGTGCTAGACTGGAGTCACAGCATCATGCATGGAAGAGCGTGCAGGTCAGGTTTAGGCAACGGGACTGTGTCCACCAGCAGAGAAGGACCAGACAGAATTGGCTTACAAGCCTTCCTGGCTGAGTGTTGCTACATGAAGACGTGCAGATGTGAGCTCAGCGCTGGAACCCATCTCCCACTTGGCCTGAGTTGTTTATCTGCTGTGAAGGTCCAGGTGGAGATCTCCTAAGGAGGATGCGCTGGGTCTGAGAATGGAGCTGTGAAGTCTTCTCTCTGAATGGAACAAGAGGCTCTGAGTGGACAAGTGAAAGGAGAATTTCTTTTAAGCCAAATTAAAAAAACACACACAACCACATTCCCTGGGCTGAAAGTTGTTCTAGATGAAAGGCTCTTTCAATTTCGTGGGGAAAATATCAGAATATTAGAGCCAGAAGGAACTCTGAAGAAGAACCAGACAAAAGCTTCATTACCAATGGAAAACAGGTGCAGAAGGGCAAGGCACGATCACCCTTAGGGTGTGTGAGCCCTGGCAAAGCATCTTTTTGAAGGGTCCCTGTCTATATCAATATTTCTATTAGAAAATTCATGGGCCCATGTAAGACATAGTGACTTATCACTGAAGATGTAGAATGATGGGTAGAGAAATGGCACTATATACTTATTGTCCTATCAGTGCACGTAAAGATTCTTCATGGAATCCAGGTGCTGTCTCTCCCCTTTTGGGTCCAAGAATCATCTCTTCCTGTTCTTTATTGTGAAATGCACCGTTCCTGGGGGAAAATCACATCTCCTAATATAAGAAAAAGGTA